GAGATCCCAAATCTTCTCGAGGACGACTTCAATTTCTTCGACCTCCATATCCCACCTCATGGCGGATGGCCAGAGTTGCAGAGAGAGAAAAGGCTGGAAGCAGGTGGAATAAGGGAAGTTGGGGGAAATGGTTGGTTCGAGAATTTTTTGCCGGGTTTTCGAAATTCTCTCGGTTACAGTCAAAACTCAAAGCGGGCTTCCCGCTCGGCTGTTATTTGGGCCGGGCTTCTCTTAACCAATAAGCCTAATCAGTTGTAGCCAAAATTACCTGAGGGAGATCAACTGAAAAAAGATATAATTTTGCCAATGGTTTCATTTTACAAAACGAATAATTTGAAATGATACAATTTAAATTGTCAGCTTCAGCCTATACACTTGTAATTGCCTCAGAACAAATCAATATGAAATTCTCCGGATAAAATTACTCCATCAAAATTTTGTGTTGTCAAACGAATCTATTTGGTTAGATGGTCTCATATGAAAATGTAACAATTAGGTCAAATTGATCTGTTAGGATTCCTCATCCAAACGACCCCTAAAATAATATATCATTTCGTTTTGAAATCATCAAAGAGATCTTCTTTGTTATTGAAATGTTTTTTTTTTACAGAGACTCGTTACAAGGTGCTACTAGAGGAGTGAAGGAATGGGGAAAACAATAGTAGTCCCTGGGATTCAAACCTGGGGGCTCCAAGCTGAAAACCAGCAGCACGACTACTCGGCCACGATCTCGTTCGCAAATTCTTGTTTAATTAAGTGCTTGTTAAAGGGGGGTAAAATAACTCATTATCAAGAGTACGCAACCAAACTCAAATCATATTACATCTCATGCATTTCTAATGACGAGGACAATTACTATTTCAAAATTGTGAATTGGGATAATATATGGTAAATCGACCTCGCCCAAATTGGTTGTCGATTCAGCAAAAACTTCTCCCAAACAATATTCACTACTCCCGCATGACCTCTCTACTGCCTCTTGGCCTAATATGTGTGCATCACCTAATTCCATATTCCCTCCTCTATTCCCCACCTTAAAATGCTTGATAAGTCAAGGTTATTACTCTGCTCCTTCAAATTGCAGAGAAGCAACGACCCAAGAAGGAAATACAGGAGATGAACAGTTCTGAAGAAGTTGCCGAATGCTGTTGCAGGAGACAAAAGAAGAGAAAGTGGAAGAGGATTGCTCCAATGGCCGAAGCAGGTTACTATCGCAGTGCCGACTTGTGGCCAGCCCTGCAATTGGGTTTCATGACTCGTTTGTCCCCTGATTTCTACCACATCTTCGCACATACAATGAGGAGGAAATACAGGAGATGGAGAAGTTGTTGCTGCTGCAGGGGAAGGAAGAGGAAGAAGTGAAAGAGGATTGCTCCATGGACGAAGCAGGTCACGATCAAGAGTACTACTGCCAGCTTTGCCTCCAGCCTTGCGAGAATCGAGTATCTCGTCGCTTCTAGAGACAAAACACCTAATTCAGAATTTTTTCTTCTATTTATTCACGTAATTAGTTTGAGATTATTCACGCCATGTTTACGTTATTCACGCAACCAATACTGTTATGTCACGCAACCTGGTGTTTATTCACGTCGTTGTAATATCAAGTTTTGAACTTTGAAGTATATAAAAATGGATGTCGTTGTAGATTATGATCAATGCAACACCTTTTAACATATTAATTGAGAATCCAAATTTGATTCCATAAAATATAGCCAATACAAATTATTGGAGGGGAGGTTTGAATTTCCATTTACGTAAATAACGAACACTCTTACGTGAATAAACATCAAATAACGTGAATGAGCACAAAAATACATGAATAGCATTAGGTGTTTTGTCTCTAGAGGCATCATATGATAACTTTTCGGCCTTGCAATTGGGTTTCATGGACTAATGTTAGTCCCTTAATTGATATCTACCACATTTTCGCCCCCTATAGTAATGACACACCAATCAATCGGTTAGTGAATCGATGGAGAACTATATATATAGGACAAGATGTGGTGAAAATCAGGGACTAAGTGCCTCAAATAGGGGAGGAAGAGGATGACTATTTCGTTATGCACCATGATATATAATTTTACGCTTAAAAATATGTCAATTGAATGTACTTATTGAGTATATCTTCATATTAAACAGATTTTGATGATCAATATTCAGTAGCATATTGACACGCACATTGTGAAGGATTATATGTATGAACACGCATATTTTATGAAAATAGATTTTGTTAGTATTTGGCAACAAATGAGATGTGGGAAGCCATCCTAGCAGGACTTGTTGGTTGCTCTTTTGGTCATGACATGAACCTTCCTGACAAGAAATTGACACCTTAACTTGTATCCTTCTTTGCATATTGCAGTTTGGCCATACTTGCCTACAGCATAGTTGAGGTGCTTCTAGAGTATTATTGGCTTATATATCTTGGTACTCCCTCCTCTTTAATGATATTTATATATATTTTTTTGTTTTTGTTGATGCATGGTTGATCACAATCATCAATAAAAAAATGTCCTAAATCTCGTGTAATTGAGATATTATAGGCAAATAAGCAAAGGCATTTTTGTAGAAGTAGAACTTGCAAAAACATGGTCCCTCAAAGAAATGTTTTCGCCATTCAGCACTACTAACCATCCATCATAAACTTCTACTTCAAGAGATCAGAAATTCACAACAGAAAAACAGACAAAGAGTTTATAATGACTTTGTTTCTGTTTTCCGGCGAGGAAGGAAACTTGTGTTTGAACACAATGGATGCACCTTTGACTTCTTGAACAACGATAATTACACGGTTCACTCCTCTCCGAACAATGTTCGAACGAGGGTGTTTGATGTTTTTTATGGTTTTTTGGGAACAAAGCTAAGTTACGTTACTCTACTCCTATGGAGGTTCAGTGAGAGCTCCAGAAACTAAAACTGTGGCTAATTTGCAGAGAAAAGGATAAAGTTTGACATTGTGCGTCAAATGTTTGGTTGTGGAACCCTTTTCCCGTCTTCGTTTCTCCTATTTATAGCCACTAGGAGTAACTGCCTTGGTAACCGCCTTGGTAACTCCTAGCCGTCTTGTTGCTCCAACCGCCTTATGGACCCCTTTTTGTTGCCTTGGTTGCCAATTGGTAACCGTTGTCTTGGTCTTCACCTCCATTGCCTTGGAGCTCCTTGACCCGTCTTGTTGACTGGTTGGTATTTGATGCCCTCGACGCCCAACGTGTTGGTCTTGTCGCCTTGTCTTGACTGGATGAGGTTGAAGCCCTCAACCATGACTCCATGATGAAGTCTCGACCACACCCTTGCCAGCTTGATGACTCCCCACTCTTGTCGTCTTGAGACCGCTACCACCTCATGACACCAATACCACCTCATTAACTTGTTGGTTGTTACCAAGCCGTCTCATCGGCTTGATACCTTCTGGCATGCCACCAAGCCCATGTAATCAACTTGACACCCCTTGCTACCAAGCCAGCCCTGGTGGCTTGGTCTCCATACTTAGTTTTTGTTGCCTCGTCAAGTTGGTAAGTTGCACTCTGCCGGTTTGGTACCCCATTAAGGTGCTACCAAGCCCGTTTTGGGAATTTGTTTCCATATAGCCCCATAAGGGCTGAACTCATTCTGGTTGATCCATCCATGGGTGTTTGTCTTGATACCGTGATGTTTGGCTTGATACCGTGATGTTTGGCTATCAAGTACGTCTTGTCGGCTTGATACCCCCAGACTTGGTTTCTGTATGACTCTCTTAGTTGGTACCTGGCTTGGCCCCCTGTTGCCTGGCCGCCAAGTCAGTCTCGCCGGCTTGATACCCCCTTGGGGTCATGGTACCCTGTCGCCTTGCTTGGCTGCCAAGCATGTCGGCTTGATACCCCCTATGGCTCCATACTTAGCCAATTCTCATATACTTTGGTACCAGGCCCTCCTTGCCGGCTTGGTACCCGGTCGTTTGGCACCTCGTTGTGTCGCCTTGTTTCCAAGACATAGTTTTTGGATGACCTCCTATTTGGTACCAAGCTTGGTACCCGGCCGTTTGGCACCCCTTTGTGTCGCCTTGTTTTCCATACTTGGCTAAATTTCTTACTTGGGTATCAGGCCTGCCTTGTCGGCTTGATACCCTCTTGTTTGGCCCCCTTATTTGATACCAGGCTTGGTACCCGGTCGTTTGGCACCCCATTGTGTCGCCTTGTTTCCAAGACTTAGTCTTTGTTGGCCAAATTTCATACTAAGGGGTGGAGGCATCGTCCGGCTATGGGGGCCTCGGAGACGGGTCGGCCATCGTATAGAGGAGAAGGGGGTTGGCCACTTAGGCCCAAAAATCTAACCCAACTAGGCCCAGCTGGCTCTTTTAATCATTAATGTTGAGCTGACCTTATAAATCCATTAATCCCCTTGTAATTAATCGATGTGGTACAAGCTGATTTTTTATGGGTAAACAGTTTCATTTTTGAATAGAGAAAGCACTTTTAGATAACCAGAAAAAAACGAGGTTTTTGATTTGAGTAAATACGAGTCGAAGTTCGCAGCGAGCTCATATCAGGTGTTTTTGTTTGTTTGTTACGCGTTTTATAAATTCTTTGTGTGTCTGACACATTTCATGATTTTAGTGGACTTTGGTTTGTAGCCGTTTAGAATGATTTGGTATCTAATCATCATTAAAAGTTAAACAAAAAATTAAACGATCTCTTTCCACAATATGTAAAGATGGGAGGCTTGAAATCCGTCACCAATACCAAAGACCATGCAACACGTCCAAACAAAACGACCCAAAAAAAAAAAATCCCTCATAAAATATTAGCATATCCATCAAAACTTAAAACCGCATTAAAAAAGCGTTTATGGTATAATACCTTAACATAATATTCCACATTCCCATCGATGTTCCCCCCTCTTCTCCATAGCTTCCCACGTCCACCCTTTTGTCCATCATCACCAACTATATTAATCCCCCCCAAAACCAGACCAAAAATGTCGATTAGAACCACACACAAAAAAAACCTAAGACGTACGACGACATGGCGACTTCTTCCAACAACAACAACAACAACAACAATCTGGCGGTCCTAACGGCGCTGGACAACGCCCGGACCCAATGGTACCACGTCAAGGCCATCATCATCGCCGGGATGGGGTTCTTCACCGACGCATACGACCTCTTCTGCATCACCGCCGTCTCCAAGCTCCTCGGCCGCCTCTACTACTACGACCCGGCCGCCGGGCAGCCCGGGAAGCTGCCCCAGTTCGTCAACAACACGGTCAGCGGCGTCGCCTTGGTCGGGATGTTCTGCGGGCAGCTGTTCTTCGGCTGGCTCGGGGACAAGCTCGGCCGGAAGAGGGTCTACGGGATCACCCTTGTCATCATGGTGGTTTGCGCCGTTTGCTCTGGGATCTCGTTCGGTTCAACCACCAAGTCGGTTATTGGGTCGCTCTGCTTCTTCAGGTGAGAACCGGTTTCCAATAAGAAAGGAATGAGACGGAGTAGTGATCGATCCTTTTGTTTGATTTGTTGGTATTTTGCCTTGTTATAGAAATTGAATCGGATTAGCCCATTGGACCGGCAGGATCGTCAAACCAATTACAATAGCGCGGTTCCGAATCATTTACTTGGACGGTTCAGGATGGGCCGGATCGGACAGTTTAAATGGTTGGATATGACTCCATGAATCATCCTGATTTGGCTGGTTAACTGGTTCATTAATTATTTTTACCATTATAAATTAAGTAGAAATTTCCAATCGTAAACTAAAATCATCCAATCTAAATTACTAGTTTATTCCCGGCTTTCTTTTCTTCATTTTCCAACTTCCTTGTCAACCTTACGTGGCTTGCTATCGATTGCCACCCTAATTACTGACTTAAATTTTGATGAATTTTTTTATGATTTGTTTTGTGAGAATGTTTTGCATGATGTGTTAGAAATTTCGGTGATGGATGGTATATATGGATTTGAAATTGTTTATCGTTAGTGGTAAATTCAGTAATGAATTAGTGTATTAATTATATATGTCTTTTATGTTATAGCTCATGAACGGTTTTATGCAATGTTTAACCAATGATTCTATAACAGTTTATCGCTGAATCATAAACCACTAATTTTCCCTATTAAAAGTCGGATTACACATAGGCAATTTTTTGTTAGGATTTTTAGATATAATGAACATTTCCTTGCTCAACTTGGTAGCTTTAATTGTTGTCACTTGCTATATTGGTTTAGGTTTTGGTTGGGATTTGGAATCGGCGGCGACTACCCGCTATCCGCGACGATCATGTGCGAGTACGCCAACAAGAAGACACGCGGCGCGTTCATCGCGGCGGTCTTCGCCATGCAAGGCGTGGGGATCATCTTCGCCGGACTTGTCTCCATGATCATGGCCAAAATCTTCCTCGTCGAAAATCCCGCCCCGACATTCACGGAGAACGAGATCCTATCCACGCAGCCTCAGGGCGACTTACTGTGGCGGCTCGTCCTCATGCTCGGCGCCCTGCCGGCGGCGCTGACCTACTACTGGCGGATGAAGATGCCGGAGACCGGGAGGTACACCGCCCTCATCCGCGGCAACGCCGAGCAGGCCGCCAAGGACATGACACGTGTCCTCAACATGGAGATCGAGGAGGAACAAGACAAAGTGATCGAGTTCAAGCAGTCCAACATGTACCCGATCCTGTCCAACGAATTCTACAGCCGCCACGGGCTCCACCTGGTGGGGACCATGTCCACGTGGTTCTTCCTCGACATTGCGTTCTACAGCCAGAACCTGACGCAGAAGGACATATTCCCTGCGATGGGCCTGGTCAACAAGGCCCAAGACGTCAATGCCTTGGAGGAAGTGTGGGAGACTTCGCGGGCCATGTTTCTGGTGGCGCTTTTGGGGACGTTCCCCGGGTACTGGTTCACCGTGGCGTTTATCGAGAAGTTGGGCCGCTACGTCATCCAATTGTTGGGCTTTCTCATGATGTCGATCTTCTTGTTGATAATGGGGATCAATTATGAGTACTTGAGGGACAACAACAAGGGCCTGTTTGCTCTTACTTATGGGCTTACGTTCTTCTTTGCGAACTTTGGGCCCAATTCGACTACGTTTGTCTGGCCCGCGGAACTGTTCCCAACTCGGCTGAGGTCCACGTGTCACGCGCTGAGCGCGGCGGCGGGAAAAGCTGGGGCGATGATAGGCGCGTTTGTGGTGCAGTCGTATACGTTGGATGAGAACGTGGGGAGGATTCGACACGCGCTGATGGTGTTGGCATTTACGAATATGTTGGGATTCTGCTTCACGTTTATGTTGCCGGAGACGAAAGGGATGTCGTTGGAGGAGATTTCCGGGGAGGACGGTGGCGGCGGGGCTGGCCGGAAGGAACCCCGGTGGGGGGTTAAATCGCCTGAAATTCCGGTAGTTTAAATGTGCGGGAAAATGATAATGTTCTCTTTCTAAGATATAGTCATCAAAATTTTGGGTTTTTCCTGTTTTATATTGGGCGTTTTTATGTTGTGTTTTTTGTGCAGCATATATTATGAAGATGTAATTGGGAATCTGTGATCGCTTTCATCCTAATTTATTGAGTAGTAGCAAAGTATATAATCTCATATTACATAAATATATAGTCACCTTGTTTATTTACAAAAAAAATACTCATTATGTATATAGGGTTTTGCATTTTGCAGCACGATAAACTTTCTGGCAGCTTGCTTGTGCTAAAAGGCAGCTTACTTCGTAGCAACTTCAAACCTTTTGTTTGAAGCATTCTAGATATCTAATTTTACATCCAATGTCTTGCCTTTATAGGAAAAACATACCTACTTTCACGTGGTAGAGGCCCATGGACTCGACTCTCATCCATGTTTCTCGAATTGAGCTCCAAAGTAAGCTTCAGAAACACGTTCCCAGACTTGGCCATTTTCAGACAGTTTCACAGTTTTGGCATAGCCTTTTGATCAGGTTCAAAAATGGTCTTCTGGACTTTCTATCGAGCTTCCAAGCACTTCATTGTGTAGAGGGACACCCCAGCTTCAAAACAAGCCATTAATCTCCAATTTCAATCGAGCCAATTGTAAGATATGAATATCCAACGTAGGCACCATGAAACTGTTTGTACATTGAAACAACAAATTAGGTTGACCTAATCATAACTGAGGTCGACCAAAAAGTGCAAATTACGGTGACTTGCAAGTCACCATAACAAAGTCCTAAACTTTGTTGTAATCCTAATGTATTCTTGAAATTATTATAATCATTGTGATTTCTCTTAAAATTGTATCTTATAATATTATCTTGGACCCGATCGTTTCCGTTGGAATATTTAGATATCTTATTAGAATTTTTTTATTTATCCATCTCATTTATTAATCAAAGTAGTATAATTTTTTTGGGTGAAAAATAGAGCGCAGAAGGGGCAATCTAACCCTTAATTATTAATAATGCTTGGGGTTTGAACCCCGATATAATCAAAGTACAGCCAATACCGTAAAATAGGTCCCAGAGTATCTAACACATGGATCCCTATGGGCAGGTTATTTCATTGTTATTTCTTGTTATTTCATCTTTGGAAGATATCATTAAATGAAATGCAATATGAAAGAGGCAAGGTGGGCTAAGATTAGAGTATGTAAATAATTTGGTTGTATAATAAATGTTAATTGGGTGCAAAATATGAAATTGAAAATAAAGTTAATGGATCTATATGAAATGATATTGTAAAAGGTGTAGAGATGGCAATAGGGACCACATACGAAATATCATTACCCTTACGATTTTATGATTCAAATCTTTGAGTCATATTTACTTATTTTTTCAAAATTTACAAAATTACGCCTATTTTCGTTCTCATCCAACATCATCTAGTTCTCTCACACTAACCACCATCGACCATCATCAATTCACTTCGATGTATTAATCATCATCGATCCGCCACTTTCTAATATTAACCATAATAAATTAAAACATTAACCATGAGAAATTATCATTGTATGTGTTATGCGTTTTTGCTTTGTTCATAATTTTCCTTATTAATATTATTCCGTCTTCATTTTATATGTGGTATCTCTTATGTGGCTCATAACGGTCAACCTCATTATTATACAGGTCAAGTCGTTTCAGTTGAAATGCATATATATCAACAAGCAGCTAAGTGATAATTGTATAAATGAAAGTAGATCGAATTATCAAATGGTTGATCTTCCTCAATGTGAAGGTCAACCATATTGTTGATGTGACTTGAATCAGACTCTCAGCCGCTACGACTGTAAGTCATGGGGGTTTGTAACCGTTTTCTTTACCAGATTGGATTAGGTTTTAGACTCATATGGAGAAGTATAAATACTTCTCATCTCCTCTGTAATTTGTAATCTTCTCGATATAGTGAAACTGGCTCTCTCTTGCCCGTGGACATAACAAACACACATCGTGTTAGTGAACCACCTAAATCGTGTGTCTGTTTTTTATTCTCGCTTTCGTATTCTTGCTTTCTCAATTCCGGCGATTTCTCGATCCGTAGCAACGCAGTTATAACAAGAGAGGTATGGCTTTGAGGATATGGTGGCGTATTCATTTCAGGTTGCTGAAGAAGTGGATGCAGGTGAACCACAATCCTATAGAGAAGCCGTTTCGTGTGGTAACGCTGATTAGTGGCTTGCCGCAAATGGGAGATGAGATAAAATCCCATGACATGAATCACACTTGGGAGTTAGTCAAACAACCACAGAAAAGAAAGATTGTTACAAACAAATGGATCTATCACTTCTGAAGAGGGCATTAGTTTATCGTTATTTCAAGTTACGATAACAAAAATCATTGAATTTCCCATGCTAAAGTAAAAATAATAAGGTCGCTTTCTTCATAAACTGAAATATAACTCAAATAGTCTCTTGGAAACATTCGATAAAATTGGAAAAATATAACTCAAACAAGTTAGTGAATAATTAATTATTGTTCGCCTTCTTGGTATGTATTGAAAAATAATAATACAGTTAGTAAATAAATAAGAATTGTTAGAGAAAATAAGCAAAATAAAAATTAATCAGATGCATAGAAAGCCCTAGAAAAGTCGAGATGGAGATTGTTTGTTCCCCAAGTAAACAAGGCCTTGTTTGTTTCCCGCATTTTGCTAGCCACGTAAATTAGATGCAGTTTGTGTGGAGATGACACGTGACACCTTTCCATGGGGGGATAAATACCCATGTAGTACCCAAATCTGCCTATATATTTCACATTGGACACCGAATTCGTTTTTCTTAAAACATAAAAATTTCTTGAACGAGTGAACATTGGTTATTACTTATTTGTCACTTCATCAATTATTCAAGTTATGTAAACCCCTTGTTTTCCAACCAAAAGCCTCAATTTGAATTTCCAATAAAATTTACGAAGTTAAGATCTATGACTCATGCTGTTGCTGTCACATATAAGTTCATTTAGTTTTCAAATTTTTCGTTTGTATAACTATAAACTGATGACGATATATGTCAAGACGTTATCGACATTACATTACTATCAAAAGGCATTGGCATGATTTGCAGTAACTGCAATAGAGAAATAATATATTTTCACGTATATAATGATGAAACATTTTCAAGCTCACAGATTTCTGTTTATCACATTCGAAACACGTTTGATTTTGGAATGCAATTGAATGCTGCATCCGAGTACCGAACTTTCTTCTGCGTGATATAGTCTAGGTAGTATATGACATTTATCTGTCCGATATGAGTAACAAAGACACAAACATTAACAAGAATCTACGATCTTGATGGTGTTACTTAACGGCGTAACAACAAGTTTCGCGACCTTAAATACTATAACAACAAATTTAATGACCAATATAGCATATACGGACAAGTATCGGGGTGAAACTGATATCTTAAAGCAGGTCGGCCGATTCAGACATCAGCCAGCCAAACGCGGCCTACTACCCGCAGAGAGTTTGTTATGGAAACCCTTCTTTCCCCAAATTTGCCGGAACCCGAAACGAGAGAAGGAAAAAGAAGGCTAATTTTTCCGTTTCCGCGACTGGTTCGGCCGTCTCTTTGATTCTTTTGCTATCGAAGGGAGGGGGTATTATGGCCGAGGTAGAGCGGTGCCGTAACCCATGGGTGAACGCAGCGCCGATCCCCGTCCCCGGAATCACAGCGGCTCTGGAATTGCAGGAGCAGACAATGGTGGTCGCCGTCGACGGCGTGCGGCAGCGGAGCTTCTCGGCTCAGCAGGGTCACCAGACCAACAACGGTAAAAGCGACGAAAGTTTAGGACTTGGCGAGAGAGCGCTCTCTGCGGCAGGGGCCGCTTTCCTCTCGGCGATTATAGTGAACCCTCTTGACGTTGTGAAGGTAATAACGGCTTCGCATGTCGACGAATCTTTCGGTGCTTTCCTCGCGTTCTTGAGATTGGAAAATGATTGCTGGGAGAAAAGTGGGAAATCTTTGATCCTTCTTATTGGGGATTGGTGGGTTGAGTTTCTTGCTATGTGGGTCGTGTGTTTTTCTTGCTTTTTCTTTGCGATTGATGCTTCTTGGTGGGTTTTCTGATTTGGGGATTGCGTTGTATATCGCATAACATTGGTATGTCGATTAGTTTGGAAGGATCTCGGAGTTGATCCCATTGATGGGGCGTTGATCAATTTCTTATTGTTTCATTGAACAGACGAGGCTGCAAGCACAGGCAGCTGGAGTTGCTTACTCTCATCCACTTAGCAATGTCATAAATCGCATGGCTTACTTTGGTCCAACCATGGTAGATACATCCTTTTCTTTTTCGCTCCAATTGTTTCTGTCAATGATAATTTCTTGCTCTGAATGGTTTGTTGAGTGACATTCGACCTTGTTTGGCAGTTGTTTGCTGATCTTAGATGTTCACCATCTTGTACGCGTGCTGGACTTCATGGGACAGTGTCCATGTGCCCTCCTGATTGTTTTCAGTACAAGGGAACCTTTGATGTGTTCAACAAGATCGTAAGACAGGTATGTTACTGTTGTCAGTATTTGCGTTCAATGATGTGAATGGTGCTGCTTCTGCTTGCTTGCATTTGTTTGTTTATAATGATTGAACATCAATTGTTGAACAACAAGATGATACTTGCAGGAAGGGTTTGGGAGGCTGTGGAGGGGCACAAATGCGGCTCTGGCTCTAGCTATTCCAACAGTAAGTTCCTTCTCATGTGTGGAATTACGAGAAAGGCTTAGTTCTTTCAGAAGTGGAAAGACTCCTAAAACCGAATCTCTAAGCTTATGGTGCTTGACATCATGTTTTATGCAGGTGGGCATTTACTTACCCTTATATGATGTATTTCGCATCTGGCTGGAGGAGAAAACCTCTCAGAGTATTCCTGGTGCAGCACCTTACGTTCCCTTGGTAGCTGGTTCACTGGCACGTTCATTAGCTTGTGTAACTTGCTATCCTGTTGAACTTGCTAGAACTCGCATGCAGGTATTTTGACTTTTGAGACTCCTTTTGGTTGCTTTTAATCAAGTAGTGAAATTTGGTTCATTCCTGTCCCTTTATCTGATGGCTCTCAGTCCAACTGTCAGTCAGTTTCCTTTTGTTTGTTACCTACCTCAAGGGTCATGGCCTTTCCCTTATTTTCTTCTTCTTTTCATTGAAATCATAGGCATTCAAAGCTGCGCAAAATGGTATGAAAGCTCCTGGCGTTTTAAAAACTCTACTTGAAGCCCTTCCTCATGTCCAAGGCAGGGATAACCGTGGAACTAACTGTGAGTATGCTTTGGGTGAATTTTCTCGGAGCCTCTATTAGTTTAAAAGCTATATGGTAATACTTTTATATAAAAGAAAAAGTTCTCAGGTAGATGCAAAGTTTTTGACTGAGATGCTCTCTTGCAACAGGGAGAGGTTACCGGGTACTGTGGACGGGCATGGGAGCACAGCTTGCTCGTGACGTTCCATTTTCTGGAATTTGTTGGGCACTACTTGAGCCTGTGAGTACATGTCCTTTTCTTTTTCATATAATGAACGAGTTAGTAGTAGTTTCTTGCTAATGGATTGTGATTCAAGTCTATGATATGTTTAGCTGAGAAGTATTTTTTGACATGGCTTTCGTTCTTTTGGCCTCACAGATGAGGAGAAATCTTTTGAGTATAGTTGGCGACGATGCAAATGTAGCCAGTGTACTTGGAGCCAACTTCTCGGCTGGTTTCATTGCAGGAAGTGTTGCGGCAGCTGCAACATGTCCCCTGGATGTTGTTAAAACTAGAAGGCAGATAGAGGTTAGTATTACCTTCCAGGGTTTCCGTGACTCAACAGACAGTAGATGCTCGATTTGTGTAGTTTCTGAGATTTAGCAGACTATAACCAGTTGCCTCTTCTCTTGTTTTAACTTTCAGATGGATCCTGTGAGGGCACTGAGTATGACAACACGACGAACACTAATGGAGGTTTGGAGGTAACTTTCCAGTGTAAATTCTTAGAATCTTCATCTTACCATTGGTAGCAGTAACTTGTTCCTGATCATGCTTCATATGGATGAACAGGGATGGAGGGATGAGGACACTTTTCACTGGTGTTGGTGCCCGTGTTGGAAGAGTAGGGCCTTCTGTTGGCATTGTGGTCTCGTTCTACGAGGTGGTGAAGTACGCTCTGCATTCTCGGTATGAATCCGCTTAGCAAGTAGACTTGAGAGGGAAGCATCAGATGGGGTCTTGCCGACTGACCATTTTGTTTCTATTGTTCATAGTCTTAACAAATGTTCCTTGGGGAGTATAGGGAATGAAAAAGAAAAGGTTGGGTAAAAGTAGTAGGGTAGCAGCAAAATAACAGTTGATAACATGAGAAGAGGCAGTTTTGTCTACTGGTGGGGTTTTTGTGACCTTCACTGAAAGCCTGCAAGTTTTCTGTGTCTAGGTGTAGTTTCTTCCTCCTTTTCCCCTGTAGGCTACGAAGCACAAGGGCATTGCTATGCCACGCAATAGAAACACCCTCTTCTCTGCAGAGTTTTGGCTATTCAGCTTTCCAAGCTGTAAAATTTTGGTTGAATTTTCATTCATCGCTTGAACGGAAGATTGTGCGGAGTACAATAATGGATTTTGGCTGAGGGGTTGGTCTCAGTTTTTGTCACAAGAAGGAATATATATGCTTTCTCGAAAACATATGATTGATGTTCATTCTTATCATCAGATTACCACAACCCAACAAACATAACCAGATGACATTGAAAACAACTAAAGACACTGTGTTCCCAATTCCCACTCATTTTATTGATTTAGCCTTCACAGAAGTTTCCTGCTCCTTTGATTTTCTTCAGCCTTGATATTGACAGCAACCGCCCTGGCATGGAGCATGGGCCACCGCCGCCTTGCTAGTCACTTGCTTGACGCTCATGACAGCAGCAGCAGCAGCAACCGGTTGGGTGGTCTCTTGCTTGATGCTTGTGGCTGCGGCGGCAGCAGCACCAGGAGTAGGAGGTTTGGTAGCGATCTCCTCTTGATTCACCACGGTTTCCACCTTGGGAGTTGCATGGCTTGTCCCGCTCCTTCCTTGCATCCTTCTCAGACTGGTTACTGGTTAGCAAACTGCTCTGTGCGGCCTTGGTGTATGTGGTTTGGTGCTTGATAAGAGAAAGATCATCGAGTATTTATACAGAGATGGGAATCGAGGGTCGCATTGCATGATTGATTGCAAGTTCATGTACCATTACTTAATATATGATTGTGGAAGCCGAAGAGCTTTGTGGGTGTTTGTGTGCTTATTCTAGGACTGGAGCAATTCATTGCACCATTAATTAACCTATCTTTCAACAACTTCCCCACTCCTCTTGGTTAATGCGTAACTGGATTCATCTGGGTCGGCCGTTTTTCCTGGTTTACTGGTCGGTAGCCAGCAATGGAGAATGGTTTGTGGTTACTGGTCAGGATCATGGGCCTGAATTTGGAGCCGAAACGTTTTCTGCGGTTTACTGTTTGATTCAAGGGCACGCACACGCAGAGAAGCAGAACATCACAGAATACTTGGCCTTGAGTTGATACGAAACAGAGACCACCCATATCTTGGATTTTCGACCCAAACTGGGATAGATTGGTTGGTGAAACTTAAATAGTTTTATTGCATGCTTGATATTTGTATAAATTGATTAAATTCACACCTGATGTTGTTTCCCATCACTCGAATTGATGAAAAAGGACAGAATCTGGTTGATGAAAGTCCCTACAAAACCAGAAGCATGCTCCCATCTTAGAGTCTTTCGACCATAAATGATTTGTAGAGAGATGCTAACTAATTTTTAATTTGCAATCGAAAATATGGATTGGTAAGTTAGGATTTTATGTCTTTGAAGTTTTTGTCAACTCTGAACCGGATTAAATCGATAGCTGGATAACAAGAAATACAAAATTTGTATCAATTCGCACCAAAATGGGGGTTAGATTTGATCGTGAAACTTGTATAGATTTGTTACATGTATAAATTCTTCTATTGTTTTCTTTTTTTTACCGTTATATCACTCGTATCATCGAGGAAAGAAAGGATCAAAATGTCAATACAACATCCTATATCAAGACGTAAAATCAAACCCCCAACGAACTCGGCCAATAAGCAAAGGGCCTTATTCGAGGAATATGACTATTGATTTCAATCGTTCAATTGACGAATGAAAAGACACGAATTGATCTTTATAGAATTCATTACAAAACTAGAATCAAATTCAAACCAACTTATGGATATATCTTTACCAAATGGAGCAGGAAGCCGGCAAAACCAGAGTTACAAGAAGCAGGTGACATGAAAAGAGTGAAGGGTGCGATGGGAAGAACACCAGACCAAAAGAAAGAACCAAGATCTGTACTACTCTGCCTCTCTGACATCAATGGACAATGTAGGTGACGGCCAATGCCAACACCATCAGACCAAACGCTATCGCCTGATCCAACTTTGCCCCTACACCGAACCCACGAAACTTAAAAGTTTAATAACTCGAGTTGTTGAAAGACGTTACGAAAAGCTTGTTTGTACTATGTTCTTACCACTGTCATCGCCGGTGGGAGAGGGAGAAGAGGAAGTGGGAGGTGGGGATGATCGGCGGTGGCGAGATGAAGCCGCCGGTGGGAGTACCGGAAGAAAGATGGAAGTTAACAGAAGAGCCGTGGCTGCAAACGCTACTCTTCCTCCCAAAACTTCCATTATCATCGATCAGAACCCTCCTTTTTTTTTCCCCAGTCGCCGGCTCTGTTTCTCTGCCGTCTTAAGGAACAAAATTAATGATTTAGTGAGATGGGTACTGTTTTTTTTTTCTTTCTTCCTTCTTTCTCCCATTGCGCCGGCAATTTATAACATGTACACGCCGCGCCATGGCCGTCTTTATGTAATTCCATTCTTATTAATCTCATTTTTCTTTTTATATCTGTTCCTGTCGATTTGCGCATTGTCACTTTCTCATAACGCCGGGGGGGAAATGCCATTCGGCTCGGACAGAATTTATAGTTTAATTTGTCTAGAACAGGACAAGTTGCCGCATGGTTTCTTCCAAATGCTCGGACAGAATTCATTTATCAAAATCAATGAATTCCAACAAACCGTTATGAAGAGGGTGGGAAATTTTTAAATTTCTCCCAATGACTCGAAATACTTTTTGGCAGCATTTATGCGCGACAACTGACAAGTTTGTTAAGAAGATTATCGCGTTATGTAACCGACCCAAATGTTCCTCAGCATCGAAACAACAACCAATTAGAGCTCCAGCAAATTAGAACTGCAGCAATGGCAAACAAACAGATACAGAATAGAACAACAATGTGTGAGCCAGTTATTCTGTATTCTCAATTCTTATTGCCTTGCGTTTTTTTGTCACTTTATGATCATCATCATCAGATAAAAGCACATGATTACCCGACTTTGGAGTAGTCGAGGGAGGCCATCGTGCCAAGTCAAAATCATTGGACAATCTCACTTACGTACGTTCCAACTTGTTACAGCAAACTCAAACTCCCCAAAGAGGTTGATTTTTCTGTAACCAAAACAATGTCGGGAACCTTTTGTCTTGTTTTGTTGCCTTGCCTCGTCACCCTCCCAAAAGTCAGATGGACAAAACGAGAAGAAAACCATGCAAGCAAAAAACCAACCAGAAGAACGATGTCTTGGATGTGTGGTTTCTGTAGGTATGCAAACTCTGCCCTCTCGACGATCTCGTAGACATTGCCACGACTTTAGAAGCTGGGAGTTGCGCAGTGGTGCCACACAGCTTATGGTATGAAGCAAACACCCAACTGATAATATAAGACGTAGATAAACAGCTTCGTTATCATACTGTACATATTCCATTCATTGATCATGAGTTTTCTACAGAGGACCAGCTATTCACGAGTCCATCCAGCCTAGACTAATTGGACTACATACAAAAGAAGCTCGGGTTTTCCTACGGAAGACCAGTTATATATGCATTGCTTGCCAAAAAGAAAACAGGTGTTGGAGCCTGAATTAGGTTAGCTAGACTAATAAGACTACATACAAATAAGCACTGATGTTCCTTCTAAGAAGAGAGAGGGTTTCCAGAGTTACAATCACCAAAAGGTAAAATCTCACACCAGAGGCTTTACTTGTTGTCCAAGGCAGGTAGGAAGAAACGGTCCTCTTTATTCCTGTAAATATCGAACAGCTGGTTCGAGTATTTCATAGCCAAGCGTCTGCATACGTCAACTCTGTCAAAAGCTTCGAATTTCTTAGGTTTATATGCCTGCAATTCCTCCACAGACTTTCTTAAGATGTCTTACATGTAAGCTTCAGGCTGGCTGAATCCTCGGTGATTTTTATCGACTGTACTCTTGGTGCATTGTTCATTATCAGTTTGCCGTCGGTAAATAGCACAAACAGCACTCATGCACAGTTCATCATCTTCCCACAAATCTCGAAGCATCTCACCTGATAGCTTCCAGTTGAACTCCCGAACCTTGTTACTTCTTCTGCTAAGCCAAGACACAATCTTTTCCATCTGCTTGTCGCAATCAGAACCATCACTATTATCAGAACTCTTGTCGCTAAATTCCTCAATGCTATCACCTGAAACATCATCTGGACCCTCTTCTTTTGAGTCCACATCAGAACCCTCTTCTTCCTTAATGCTGTCACCTGAAACCTCAGAACCCTCTGCTTCCTCAGCAGCATCAGCATCAGCATCATCCATAGTTTTGGAAATCCCTTGTTCGTGTTTGGTTCCATTATTAGGCTCATCAACTCTTCCCCTCCACCGCCTCCTACCAGGGGTTGCTGCATCTATCACATCCTGATCATCATTATCATTATCATCATCATCATCATCACTGGTTGAAGGCGAATGCATAGTAATTGATAAGCCATTTGCACCACAATTGGCTTTGGCCAAACGCTTTGACATGACCTGAGATATTGTAAGGTTATCATCATCGCTCTCACTATCACCAATAACCATGTTTGCAGCTCTCTTCCTTTTGAGCATAAACGCACACGGGGTGCTAACATTACACACATCCATACCATCTTCAAGCCAGTGATCATTAGATTTGCTCTCCAAACTGGTTTCAAGTGCTTTTGCCTTTTCATCACTATCATCAGGTTTGTTATCACTGCCCTCTAAATGAATGACGCCAGAACAAGCACCTTTGGGATCTCTAGGAGTCGATGGAGCTATCTTTCGCAGTAAATATTCTTCTTCTTTTTCTTCAAATGATAACTGTCTTCTAACTTGACCAACACATCCTACTCTTAATTTCTGCCCTCTGATATAGGACTTCTGTTTGCTCGCAAGATTGCTACATGGTTTTCCATCTTCAGTCGACATCCTGTCGTCAAAACTTCTTCGTATCCTCGACTTCAAAATTTGTGGTACATTCGTTTCCAAAACTAGAAATTTCAGAAAAGAGCCAACCGGCCTCAGTAAAGGAGTTATATCAGTAGATAAAGGAACAAATAGCAAAGGTAGATAATCCAATATCGGAATATTGGAGCTGCCTAGTGAGAACCAAGCCCTAAACCTCAAAATCCAAACGTTTTTGGTCTGAACAGAAGAGAATAGAAGGACCACAGCAAAAACTGGTGGGGGAAGAAACCTACGATATTGCACTGAAAGATCGCAACTTTACTGTGCACAATATAAACCTATTCAACTACGTTTCTACTCTAACAACTGGAAAGGTTTTATCTTTAGCCACCAAAATCAAGTTCTCGCTCAACCCATTACAGCTACCCATTCCTTTCCGCAGCTCTCAGACTCAAATACTGTAAACCCAGAGCAGGAAGGAAGGAAACCCAAGAAACAAATGCACCAAAAGGTCACACCTCCCTCTAGATTTTCCTAGAAAACCAAACAGATATCAAAGGGAGGCAAGCAGCAGAGCGACACGGAGGACACACACACACACAGTTACAATAAGGTGAGGAAGTACCTTACGTGGATTGGCCACCTCTAGGGACAAGGGCTTCGTGGGAAACTTTCTTCTTCGAGCAAAGAGTAGTGGAAATTGCGACTGAACGTGGAAAGAAGCGAGAGCCAATGAAAAGTGGAGTTTTTATAACTGCCTGCGTGGCGCCTGCCGAGAACAAACAGTAACGGTCGACCCGGTGACCTGAAGATGGTGGGGGAGGTGGGTCCCACTATGTAATGCCACGTTGGAACCTGGAACTGAGACTCTAATTCGACGAATCAATGAACATAACGACGTCGTTACATAAATGGAAAGATGGCCATATTCAAGATAAACGGCTTTCACAATCATACTGTTACACATTCCATTCATCGGTTCTAAGTTTCCTACTGGAGACCAGTCATAACTCATACATGAGTTCATAGATGCTAATATCCAAAACAAAGCAGGTGTTGGAGCCTCGATTAGCTAGTTAGACTAATAGCATTACATACAAAATAAGCGACAACTTTCCTTTAAGAAGGTGAGGCTTTCCAGGAGACTTCGAGTCACTAGCAGGCAAAGCTCGTGCTCTGGCTTTACTTGTTATCCACTGCAGGAGGGAAGAAAGGATCCTCCCCACTCTTGTAAATGTTGAACAGTTGATTCGCATAGTGCAACGCCCAATCTCTGCACTTGTCAACTGCCTTGGGATCATATGCTCGCAATTCCTCCACAGACTTGCTCAGATCACCGTTGGAATCAATCAGAAACGCTGCTATCTTGGAGGCCCTGCGAAGTGACGAGAGCAGTAATAAGCATGTTCAGAACAAAAGGGACTTGCATTGTGTTGTACACTTAAACAAGAAACAAGAATTGACCATTGGAGCACAACCATGCACGAGGGTTCTTTAGATGTTTTTTTACCTGGAACCATGAGATTGACTGAATCCTCGTTTATTGGAGTGGAATGTATTCTTTGCAACTTGTTCGTCACAAGTTTGCTGTCGGTAAAGAGCACAAACAGCTCTCATGCAAAGCTCATTATCTTTGCCAAAGTCTGATTGCAATTCACCCACTGACTCCCAGTTGAACTTCTGATTCCTGCTTCTTTGAAGCTTAGACACGATATCTTTCATTTCCACTCCGATATCAGCACTGCCTTCCGTGGAACAGGTGTCACCATCAGAAAGTGACGCATTAGAACTCTCAACGATAAATTCCTTCATGCTGTCATCTGAACTGCCAGAACCCTCTTCTTCATCTGTTGTACTGTCTGAATCTTCAGCACCATCCGCCGTCGTAGGAATTCCTCTTTCGTATTTGCTTTCACAGTTAGTCTCAATTGAAGCAAGCTGTTGAGAATCAGATTTTCTACTGGAATCACCCATTCTCTTTAACCGCCGCCTTCGAGGGGTCACAGTGTCCCTCACATCATCATCGTCACTCGCAGAAAGTGAAGCAGCCTTTGACAAGCCATTTGCATCACAGCTCACTTTGCGAAAACGCTTTGCCTTCCGTTGAGACAGTGGAATATCATCATCCTCACTCTCACTATCAGTAGCAACCACGTTTGCAGCTCTCTTCCTCTTGGGAGTAGCAGTGGCACACAAATTAGTACCGACGCACACGTCCATACTGTCGTTAAGGCTGAAATCATTAACTCTGCTCTTCGAACGGGTTTCGGATGATTTCTCCTTTTCATCACTAAAATTAGGTTCGTCGTCACTGTCATCTATATTGATGATGCCAGACCAATTAACTTTGGGATCTGTAGGAGTTGTTGGAGCCTTCTTCCTGATGGAATCCTTTTCTTTCTCAAATAATACATGTCTTCTAGCTTGTCTACCACTTCTCCCTCTGGATTTGTTTCCTCCAAAAAGGGACTCATCATTGCTTGGCAGATTGCTACAAGGTGTTCCTGTCAGTGCACAAAAACTAGCTTGAACTTTGGACTTTATTTTGTTCTATTGACTTATTACACATGAGACATGATGTATACTACACATTCAGCCACTGAGATTTCCATCAACATAGATATGATGGGAATAGGGAAGAAAATGCAATGGGATCAGTAACAAGGACTAACTATGCTACATTGTCCTCTCTCCGATTCTGTTTAACATTATGCTCTTGTTTACAACTTGGGTTAAAGACTTTTAATTATTGCAGCTAGGGTTCTGCGGCAAAGCCAACGCAAGAAAATGCAATGGGATCAATATCAAGGACTAACCATGCTGAATTGTCCTCTCCCCGATTCTATTTCACATCATACTCCTGTTTACAGGTTGGGTTAGACACTTTCAATTCTTGCAGCAAGGGTTCCGTAGCAAAGTCAATGCAACATTGTAAGGTAGGCGAAGCATAAGAAATTGTCTTACTATAAATGTCAGAAGTAGCTCCAGCAGCAACATGCCCATCTTCAATGTTGTTGGTAATTCTTCCCACTATAGACTTCAATTCCTGGTACTTACGTTTCCCAATTTCGACCTCACTTTCAGCCTTCTTCTTCTCACATTCCAGGGTAACATTCTCAATGTGAAACAGCTCGTTGTCCTCCTCCTCCACTTCTCTTGCTTTCAGAGCTTTGAGTTCATCTTCAATTTCCACAATTCTAAGTTGCAGCGCCTTATACTTCCCTTCCAGTTCTTGATACTCGCTCTTCCTGGTTTCAATCTCTCTTTCCAATCCTCTAATTCTCACTTCAGCATTCTTAATCATCTCTTCCGATTCATAACACCTCGAAACCGGTTCACTTCCCTCCAACACTTCAAGCTTTGGAGTTTTGCTTTCCACTTCATCATTCATCGCCATGCCTTGAATCAGATACTAGACATCAAAAAGACTTGCACCCTCCTTGCTAACTATTCGTTCATAAAATTGAAACCAAAGGAGCTATAATAGCAGTTGAAATTAAGGAACCAAACGCAAATGCAGGTCACATAACGTCCAAAAACTATGGCTGTCCAGTGAGAACCAAACCCTAAAACTCGAAATTCTCAACCTTTACGACATTACTACAATGAAAGATCGAAACTTTACTGGGGGAACCGGTAAGAAATCAATTTCTCGTTCGACTCGTTACAGCTATTGATTCCTTTCCGCAGCTCTCTGACTCAATTTTTGTAAAACCAACGCAGGGAACGAAACCCAAAGAAACAAAAGAACCTAAAGTTCGCACCTTTTGCCCTAGATTTTCCTGTAACCCAAACAGAGATGGAAGGGAGGAAGCAGAGCGAGCAGAAGTGAGACGGGAAGGTGGAGAAGCCTACCTGGCCACGTTTAGGGTCTAGGGCTTCGCGGGAGTTTTCCTTCTTCGCGCAAGAGCGGGTAATATTACGGGGGGAAAGAAGACCGACTCAAAACTCAGAACAGCTAGTTTTTGTAATTGCCACGTCGAACGGGCAACGTGGCGGTGGAGGAATATAATCCGACTTGTACTGCCACGTCGGAACAAAGTATATAGTTAAACGAGTCAATGAAAATGGCGACGACGCCATTTACTTTGATTAGTGGCTAATCGCACTCATGTTGAAACAAATTACACTTTATGAAGATCCAAAGAGCAATCTTCTATGCATTTTGATGTTTTTCGATTTGGTTTATTTGCTTGAAATTTTAATTAGTTATATAGTTTTTTTTACTTAAATATATAACTCACTCCAACCCAATCATAAACAAACACTAGTGTTTTGATTTTTTGTGTGAATTTGAATTTGTATGTCCAAAATCAAAGTATATGAGTCAACAGTTTTAGAAGCTCGTCAAATGAGATTGGAAGGTGAAGATCTCCCACACTTACAGGGAATGTGACAAAGCATTAGAGGATTTGTTTAGTATAGGTTTTCATAATTTTGAGGATTTGAATCTCGGGCTCACTTTTTGATTTATGTCCCAAAGTCGTTTAATTTAAGTGTTAGACATGAGTGCTCCCCATTCTTTTATATATAAAAAAAAGTGGCTAATGGCACTGCATTGTAATCCCAAACGATCTCAAGTCATTGTCTAACTACGTAATCATACATCTCATATCTCGAGTTTATATCCTATTTCGTACTAGTAGGAATAACTCAAGGTTAAAATGATGTGATAATTCAGGTTTAAGATTTCATACGATTAATAATCCTTTAGTTGATTCACAGTTTCCTACCATGAGAGTCTGAGATCAGCTATACATGAGTAGGCAGTAGCAAAGGGCAAAATGTAGGTGTGCCGAAATAGTTAGGTAGTTGGATTGCTAGCTAGACTGCACACAAAATATGAAGTGATCTTATCTCTCTTCCTGCATGAAGGGGAGGCGTCGTATCAGCAATGGAAAAGATGGCCCGATTCGCATTAAAGGGCTGCTTTCATAATCATACTGTACATATTCCATTCAACGGTTCTAAGTTTCATACTGCAGACAAGGTATACATGAGATCATACATGCCGATTGCCAAAAACAAAACAGGTGCTGGAACCTGGATTGGCTAGTTATACTAATTGCCACTACATACAAAATAAGCGCTGACCTTCCTTTAAGAAGGTGAGGCTTTCCAGGAGACTTCCAATCACTAGCAGGCAAAGATCATGCTCTGGCTTTACTTGTTGTCCACTGCAGGAGGGAAGAAAGGGTCCTCCCCACTCTTGTAAATGTTGAACAGTTGATTCGCATAGTGCAACGCCCAATCTCTGCACTTGTCAACTGCCTTGGGATCATATGCTCGCAATTCCTCCACAGACTTGCTCAGGTCGCCGGTGGAATCAATCAGAAATGCCGCGATCTTGGAGGCCCTGCCAAGTCATGTTCAGATAAAAGATACTCAAATTGTTTTGTACGCAATAAGAAACAAGATTTACCATTGGAGCACAGCCGCAAAAGGGTTCTTCACTTGTTTTTTCCCTTTTTCTTACCTGGGAGCATGAGATTGGCTGAATCCTCGCTTATTGGAGTGGAATGTATTCTTGGCAACTTGTTCGTCACTAGTTTGCTGTCGGTAAAGAGCACAAACAGCTCTCATGCAAAGCTCATTATCTTTGCCAAAGTCAGATTGCATTTCACCCACTGACTCCCAGTTGAACTTCCGATTCCTGCTTCGTTGAAGCTTAGACACGATGTCTTTCATTTCCACTCCGATATCAGCACTATCTTCCGTTGAACAGGTGTCACCAGAAGACGTATCAGAACTCTCAACGATAAATTCCTTCATGCTGTCGTCTGAACTGCCAGAACCCTCTTCTTCATCTGCTGTACTGTCTTCAGCACCATCCGCCGTCGTACGAATTCCTCTTTCGTCTTTGCTTCCGCAGTTAGTCTCACTTGAAGCAAGCTGTTGAGCATCAGATTTTCTTCTGGATTCACCCATTCTCTTTAACCGCCGCCTACGAGGGGTCACAGTGTCCCTCACATCTTCATCATCATCATTATCATCATCGTCACTCGCAGAAGGTGAAGCAGCCTGTGACAAGCCATTTGCATCAAAGCTCACTTTGCGAAAACGCTTTGCCTTCAATTGAGATAGTGGAATATCATCATCCTCACTCTCACTATCAGTAGCAACCACATTTGCAGCTCTCTTCCTCTTGGGAGTAGTGGCACAAGGATTGTTACCAATGCACACATTCATATCGTCGTCAAGGCTAAGATCATCAACTCTACTCTTCAAACTGGTTTTGAGTGCTTTCACCTCTTCATCACTGTTATTAGGTTCGTCATCACTGTCATCTATATTGATGATGCCAGACAAATTACCTTTGGGATCTGTAGGAGTTGATGGAGCCATCTTCATGATGGAATCTTTTTCCTTTTCAAAAAATAGATGTCTTCTAGCTTTTCTACAACTTCTCCCTCTGGAATTCTCCCCTCCAAAAAGGGACTCGACATTGTTTGGCAGATTGCTACAAGGTGTTCCTGTCAGTGGAAAAGAACTAGCTTCAACTTCGAACTTATTTTGTTCTATTGACTTATTACACTTCACGTTTACTAAAAATTCAGCACACTGAGACTTGAATATATATAGATATGCGGATCAGTAACAAAAAAGGACTAACTATGCCACATTGTTCTCTCTCCGGTTCTGTTTAACATCATGCTCTTGTTTACAGGTTGGGTTAGAGACTTTCAATTCTTGCAGCTAGGGTCCCCAGAAAAGACAATGCAAGAAAATGCAATGGGATCAATATCATGGACTAACCACACTACATTATCCTCTCCCCAATTCTATTTAACATCCTACTCTTGTTTACAGGTTGGGTTAGACACTATCAATTTTTGCAGCGAGGTTTCCTTAGACAAGCCAATGCAACATTGTAAGGTAGACGAAGCGTAAGAAATTGTCTTACTAGAAATGTCACAAGTAGCTCCAGCAGCAGGTACATATCCATATTCAATTTTGTCGGTAATTCTTCCCACCATAGACTTCAATTCGTGGTACTTGCGTTTCCAAATTTCAACCTCGCTTTCAGCCTTCTTTTTCTCGCATTCCAGGGTAACATTCTCAACCTTGAGCTGAAAAAGCTCATCATCGTCCTCCTCCACTTTTCTTGCCTTCAAAGATTTGAGTTCATCTTCAATATCCAACTTTCTAAGCTCCAGAGCCTTATACTTCCCTTCGAGTTCTTTATACTCGCTCTTCCGTATCTCAATCTCTGCTTCCAATCCTCTAATCCTCGCTTCAGCATTCTTAATCCTCTCTTCCGATTCATTACGCCTCGAAACCGGTTCACTTCCCTCCAACAATTCAAGCTTTGGAGCTTTGCTTTCCACTTCAGCATTCATCACCATATTTCGGATCAGATACTAGACATTAAAGACAGGACTGCTGCCCGGCTTGCTAACTGTTCGTTCATACATTTGAAAGTTGAAACCAAATGAGTTACAATAGCAGTAGAAATTAAGGAACCAAACGCAAATGTAGGCAACAAAATGCCCGAACACTATGGCCGTCTAGTGAAAACCAAACCCTAAAACTCGAAATTCTCAACCATCAAGACATTACTACACTAAAAGATCGCAACTTTACTGTGCCCCCATCTAAAAAAGAATTGACCTTTAACCAACAAAGTCAAGTTCTCGCTCGACCCATTACAGCTATTTGTTACTTTCCGCATCTCTCTGACTCGTTTTTTGTAAAACCAAACGCAGGGGAACTACACCCAAGAAAAAAAGGAACCAAAAGTTCACACTTTGCCCTAGATTTTCCTGGAAACCAAACGGCGATGGAAGGGAGGAAGCAAAGCAAGCAGAACTGCAGAAGTGAGGCGAGAAGGTGGAGAAGTAGCATACCTGGCTACCTCTAGTGTCTAGGGCTTCGCGGGAGTTCTCCTTCTTCGCGCAATAGCGGGTGAAGTTGCGAGGGAATAGGGAAAGAGCGAGTCAAAACGCAAAACAGTGAGGTTTTGTAACTGCCTGCGTGGCGAGCGTTACAGTAACGGTGGAACGGGCAACGCGGCGACGGAGGAATAGAATCCGACTTGTAATGCCACGTCGGAACGAAGATCTGTGACTGAACGGTCAATAAAAGTACGGTGTCGTAATAGTTTGATTTATGTGATCGTACCTACCAAATAGCGGCGGATCCAGAACAGGTTAGAGCACTAGGCCGCATTTAAAAAGTAGTGGAGAGGGTTGGGTCGTAACCCTATAAACATTGATATATATACCCAAAATCGGAAATTTACAAGTACTATACGAGTTTTATATCCGGAGAGGGCTGGGGCCGTGGCCCGGGAGCGGCCCCCTAGATCCGCCACTGCTACCAAATCGTAATAAAGTGGAAAATTTCAGCTTAGTAATTGCACCTACCAACTCGTAAAGCATTTGGATGGTTAATTCGCGGTTTAATATCAATCGATCTACAAATAATTTAAACGTAATAGGTAAGTGATTTATGTGAGTGGATAGCAATCAAAAAATTTCTAACTGCATTTATTCGGATGGATGGGTTGCGAGCCACCCATTTGACCCACATCCCACTTTGACACGACAAAAAATTGTTTCTTATTTATATTATTAAATAATAATCTTATTTTCTAACACACTAACCATCGACTACTAAAAATGGTAAATAAAGAATATTTTTGAACCACTACTAATGATTACTATGTTGTATAATGTCAATTTGATATTGAGATGTAAATTATAAACCGTTAATTGTATGAAAGTCATATATAATCAAAGATTTGACACCATGTCAAATAATTGAAATCCACTCAAGTAAAACCCCTTGTTCTCTAAGAATATGTGGTGAGTGTTTTCTTTTAACGAATACTTCATTCAAAGTGATCAACTGAATCAAGTAACAAAAAACTTACATGTCATAACTTCTAGACAAATCCATAGAAGACAAAGTCGGAAGTGGCTAAATTAACAGTGTCTTTCTAATTTGCAAAAAATTTATTATAAACATTAGTAAACTTGCCTAGTGGCTAGTTATAGAATTATTTTGCAGGTAAACCCATAACCTAATATATTCCGCCCACCGGACCCAACTCGAAAAAGAATATGGTTAGATAACAAATCACAATTGTATTAATAAGCAAATGAGTGAATTTGAAATCGAAATCCATCCATCCAACCCATATTGTTGCCCACCATCATCCAACCACATGCATGAGTCCATTCATCCAACCACAAGCATGAGTCCATTCTCACATAAACCACACCTCTAACAATCAACATCATCCCATATCCTACTTTGTGTTAGCAGCAATAACTTAAGTACCAAAATGCTGTGATAAGTCATGTTAAGATTTTGTCACCCAAATACCATTTGCCGGCATTTGCCAGGCTCATAAAAATGAATCAAACAACCAACCGCTTCCACCACTGAGATGGACAAAATCATTGTATGGCGTAGAGATAAACAGACTTCAAACTGTACACAATTCATTAGCTTCCTACAAAATAACTAGGCGTGCTGAAACAGTTTAATTAGTCAGACTGCTAGCTAGACTGCACACAAAATAAGCAGTGACCTCACCATCCTACATGAAGGAGAGGCTTTTCCAGAGTTTGAAGACTCTCTTGCTTTTACTTGTTGTCCACGGCTTTACCAGAGATCATCCTCCTCGTTCTCGTAAATTTCGAACAGTTGCCTCGCATGATACAACGCGATTTCCCTGCAGGTCTCGACTCCATCAGGAAACTCTGCTCGTAACTCTGCCACATTTCGCTTCATATCACCATCGGGATCCTCATCCGTGAGAAACTCGGCGATCTCGGAGCCCCTGCGAGAGTGATTCATAGCAATCAGCAACCAAACATGTCCAGAACAAATGAAGAATTAGCACAGTAAGGGGGTTCAGATGCTTTTACATGGGAGCATGAGTCTGGCTGAATCCTCGCCCATTGCGGTGAAATGTAAGCCCCTCTTCACGTTCATCGGGAGTTTGCATTCGATAAAGGGTACAGACAGCCATCATGCACAGCATATCATCTTTCTCGAAATCCGCAGCTAGATCCCAGGAGGACTCCCAATCCTTATCTCTTTGAAGCTTGTACACAATCTCTTGTTTTACAGCTGTGCCAGATGGACAACTAGCAATGCACGTCTTCGTACCATCATCAAGGTAATGATGATTGTTAATCTTGCTCTTCAGACTGATTTCAGGAGATTTCTCATCTCCGATGCCTGTACTCAATGACAAAGTGCAGAGCTTTGAGCCAGGAAAAGAAGATTTGAGATCTTCAGGAGTTGATGGAGCCATCTCTCCAAACTTCTTGTTTTCTTCTTTAAAAAACAACTGTGTTCTGGCTAGTCTATCAGTACTTATGCCTCCACATTTCTCCCCTCCAATAAAGGGATTGAATTGGCTTGGAAGATTGCTACCTGGTGTAGCTGTCAGCAGGAAGTAAAACTGTTATAGAGATCATACTTTGGCATCTTTCAATACTACATATTCAATTACTAAGAACACTTGAGATTTTAATACACAGAATCATGGTTGTAACTTGGAAGAACATGCAATGGGATCAACAACAAGTTTCTAATCAGCATCCTTGGTGTTCGTAAGAGGAAACACTAAATTTATATATCAGACAAAATCCACTTAGTGACTTACCCAAAATGTCAGAAGTAGCTCCAGGAGCCTGCTGTTGATCCACCTGCAAGTCATCTGCCCTGATTTCAAGACTCAGCCAGTTTTTTCCCACCCTAGAGCCCAATTCTTGGGACATTCGTCTCAAAACTTTGGCCTCGTCCTCAGCCTTCGTCTTCTTCTTCTCGCGTTCCAGGGCAAGCTCCAGTGCCTCAAACTTCTCCTTGAGCTCTTCATACTCACTGTTCCTAACTTCAATCTCAGCTTCCAAGCCTCTAATTCTCGCTTCAGCCTGCTTGATCCTCTCCCATTTTGTTACACCTCGAATCCGACACACTTTCCACCTCCAAGAGTTCGCGCCTTTCTGCCTTCCCACCTTGATCCCCAATTCACCTCCATTCGCCGCCATGTCACTCTACAGGCAAGGGAAAAGCCACCCGTCTTGCTAACTGCGATTCATAGAATTGAACCGAAGGGGTTAACAATAGCAGTAGAATACACACAAAGGTACACCAACGCAATGAACATTATTGGATCTGTGAGGTGAGAAGCAAACCCTAAACCTCAAGTGTTGATGCTTTTTCATGGCCATAACAGAATACAGGCAAGGAAACACAACCGAAAGAGGCGAAGAAACTACGACATTACACTGACGAATCTTTTTGGGACCAATCAACAGAAGCTACCACGTTACTACTTCGAGTCTGTGGCAACTAAGTGGGGGGAAAAGAACCCATCTTTAACCTACAAAAGCAATTTCTTATCCAAAACAGTGAACGACCCATTGCAGCTACGTAATCCTTTCGCACAATTCTTTCAGAGAACCTTGTGAAACCAAAGTTGGAAACCCAAGCTACAGAGTTGCCAAAGTTCACACCTTTGACCTCACGAAAACCAAACAGGGAACCAGAAACCAGAACGAGCAGAGCAGAGCAGAGTGTTAAACCTTACATGGATACCTCTAGGGTTTCTCGGGGACTTTTCTCCTTCGTGGAAGCAGTTGAAGTTATAAGGAAAAAGATGGGAGAGAATCGTCCGATCATATATTCATAGCGCGAGATAGGCGCGTAGGGTGGGACAGTTTTATAAACTGTTGCCAAATGATCCAGTAACGGTTACAGCCAGTGACGGGAGAGTGGAGGAACCCGAACCGCCTTGGTAAGGCCACGTGTAAACGAGTCTCTTGCTCAAAGTTGTCAACCTGATTTAGCCCGTTGGTCCGGTCTAGCAAGTGAGTGAAGGATCGATGATCCCGTCGTTTTAAACTTATTTAGTCCGGATATATGAACAAAGTCATTACATTGTTTATACATATATAAATTTTATCAAATCTCATCTAATATATGAGTAATAATGTTTAAAATTACACCAAAATAAATAGTTCGTACGTGAATACGACATATAGTAAATTCAAACACACTTCAATCCGCCATATAAAATTTTTATTGGCACTTTGAATGAACTGGAACAACCTGTGAAAGCCAAGCAAAGTGGCCTTCTGGAATGAAAGTTCGTTGGCCGGTTTTGTCGGGTTTGACCAGGTTGAGATGGGTTTGATGAATTCGGGCTAAGTTAAAAATGGGTGTGCCCGTTTTCCCACCGGGTCAGGGTCAACACACAGGGTGATTCCCGGGTTGACAATGACAACCTTGCTCTCACTCGACGAGTCAATGAAAATAATGGTGTCGTTTCACCTACTTGTTTTCCTTGAAAGTCGGTTACTCTCCCTCAAAATTCCTCACCAATTTGTTAACGGACCGTTTGAGATCAAATGAATTGAGAATTCATTTCGTTTTAAAATGAATTTCTATGTTTGGAATGTCGTATTAAAAAATTTATAAATAAATTGCATAGAATTCCCAAATCGTGTTTGGAATATGTTAATAATTGAATTAAATTAAAAGTTATCAACGATACGCTTCTTAATTTCCATCAAAAATAAAATTGCTATCGCTATTTGAAAATCAATCTTCTAAAAACACAAGTGTTAAAGTTATCATCAAACCAATTCGACCAAGTACAAAACGAACTTCGTAAAAATTCGTAAACCACTTGAAGATCCATCTTCTAAAATCATTCATTGTAACTAATTTTTCTCCTTAGCCAAAAGACATTATTCTCCCCATGATTATATATTAGGTTAAGTAGCGGCTGAGCGAAATCATATCTTAGGTTAAGTAGCGGCTGAACGAGAAAGGTTAGCCGCGCAATCATGTATTGTTGGCAACAAATTATATACATGGGGTAATTTACTCCATATATATGCCTTATCACTTTGCTTTGCCTCGTACATACATCTCACACATTTCAGAATCGACACTTTCCCTAAGTCGTTGATTGGTCATGTTAGAATCTTGAGTCCCCCGAGCAACACATTACTGACAATATACACATTCCATTAGTTGATTCAGAGTTTCCTACCGGAGAAGAGTTATACATTGCTTGGCACACAAGGCAAAAAACTAGGAGTGCCGGATAGTAACTTAGCTAGACTGGTAGTTAGACGATTTACATACAAAATAAGTGCACTGATTTTCCTTTTCAGAAAGCAAGGCTCCCCAGAGTTCATGGCCTGCAATCACTAAAAAGGCAAATCTTGTTCTCTGCATTTTGCTTCACTTGTTGTGCACGGCTTGCCAGAAATGGTCCTCTTTGTTCTCGTAGATCTCGAACAGTTGCTTATTATAAGTAGAAGCCATTTCCCTGCACGCTTGAAGTCCATCAGGATCTGGAAATCGTGCTTGTAACTCTTCCACAGACTTGTTCATATCACCAAGGAGATCCCCATCCGTGAGAAACTCCGCGATCTCGGATCCCCTGTGAGGCGATGAGTAGAGCACTCGGTAATTAAGCATGTTCTGAACAAACAATGAAAAAGATTGTGCCATTGGGTTGCAGGAATGAGAGTTCAGATGTTTACCAGCGAGCATCATCTTGGCTAAACCCTCTCCCGTTGGCATCGCGTGTTACCTTGAACATTCGTTCATAAGATGTTTGCTGTCGGTAAAGAACACAGACCGCCATCATGCACAGCTCGGGTTCCTTAAAAGCTGCAAGCATGTCGCCATATTGCTTCCAATTGAACCACCAATCCAGTTTTGAAGCAATCTTCCTTTTCGGAGTGCCAATGCACTTAAGGGGGGAGGTTGTTCTAACATCAAACTGACGGATATCCTCCTCAGTGCCTGTACTTCTTGCTGAACTGCAGCTCTTCAAACCAGGAAAAGAAGATTTGGGGTATCCAGGAGTTGATGGAGCAAATTTTATAACGTGATCTCTTTCTTCTTCAGCATACGACAGTCTTCTAGCACTTGTACCACTTACAATGCCTCTGGATTTCGGTCCTCCAAAACAGGATCTGTCCTGGCTTGGAACATTGTTAACTGGTGTTGCTGTCAGCGGAAAGGAAAGCAGATTTAGATATCGCAATCAGCACTTTTGGATACACAAGCAGAACTATGAGATCTGAATAAATAAACAGAAGCATGGCTGGAACTTGGAAGATGATGTAATGGGGTCAGTAACAAGTGCTGAACCCCATTCTCTTCGATTCTAATTAGCATCCTACGCCTTCTAAGATGAAGCACTAAGCTGATGAAATTAAATCTAATTCATAAGTCCATGACAGATGTTAAGCAATGCTCTTACCCAATAAGTCAGAAGTAGCTCCAGAAGCTGGTTGTGGATCCACCTGCAAGTCATCTAACTTGATCTTAAGATTCGGTCCATCTTTTCCCACTTTAGAGCTCAATTCATGGGGCATTCGTCTCAAACCTTCAACCTCCAGCACCATACTCTCCTTCTTCCTTTCACATTCCAGGGAAAGCTCTAGCGCCTCATACTTCTCCTGAAGTTCTTCATACTCATTCTTTCTCATTTCAATCTCAGCTTCCAAGCCTCTAATTCTCGCTTCATCCTGCTTAATCCTCTTCCGTTTCACTACACCTCGAACCCGGCACACTCTCCAACTCCAACAGTTCCCGCGTTTCTGCCCTCGCACTTCTCCATTCTTGGTCATGTCACATTACAGGCAAGATCCACCGGCCTTGCAAACTGTGGTTCATAAAATTGAACCAAAGGAATTCATAAAAACAGCAGAATCAAGAGCATATACACAATATGCATACCGCCTAAACCTCGATTCTCGATGATTTCTTTTTTGGTCATGAAAGAATAGAAGCGAAGAACGCACAACAAAATGAAGGCCAACAACTACGAACAATCCACTGGAAGATCGTTTTAGTGTGAGCAATCAACAAAAGCAACTACCTAACTCAGGGGGGAAAAGCGTATCTATTAACCTAAAAAAGCAAGTTCCAAGGCCCCAGCTAACAAGAATCGACCCATCACAGATGCTCATATGCTCATTCCTTCCCACAGCTCTTTGAGTCAAATTCGTAAAGCCAAAGCTGGAAACCCAAGATCCAAAGTAGACAAAGTTCGCACCTTTGACCTCAGGAAACCAAACAGAGAAGGAGTAGAGTGAAGGGAAGTGAAGTGTTAAAACTCACCCGGCCAAATCTAGGGTTTGTGGGCAGCTTTCTCCTTAGCGCAACGGAAAAAAATAATCGAAAGTGTCTCCAGATCAGTCCAGTGACAGTGTGAGAAAGGCGCGCAGAGAGGGAGGGAGTTTATTAACCGGTGACAAATATACACACAGTAAACGGTTAAAACCGGTGACGTGGAGGTCGGGCAACCATGACTTGCGGATGAAGGAGTCAACAAAACGACGTCGTGTAGATTGAAAGGCGGACGGTTAGATACAAGAATAGGGATGGCAATGGGTCGGGTTGGGTCGGGTTTTGCCAAACCCAAACCCAAACCCATGGGTTTATCCGTGAAAAAAACCCGGGGTAAAATCCATTGGGTTTGAAAAACTCAAACCCAACCCAACCCGCTGGGTATCCGCGGGTTCATGGGTACCCACGGGTTTTTATCGTAAAAAATTCACAATAACAAATTTCTATCAAAATTAAAGTAAAATATCAATCTCCCAATACAAATTATCCATATATAAAACACAATTCTAGAAAATCCAAGCAAATCACAAATTAACTATACAAATTGTTCAACACCAATCTAGAAAATTCTAGAAAATTGAAGCAAATCACAAATTATCCAAAAATAACATGATTAATTGAAAACTTCTTCCTTTCAATTAAGTTTTTCACTCTCCACTCGATAACATCAACTTCATACTACATAACTAGAAAGAAAAAATTAGAGTTTTTTCCAGAAATAGCACCTTTAAAAAAAAAAATTACAAAACTAGCACTCTTCCAAAACAAATTACAAAACTAGCACCTATTTTAATGAATCGCACCTTAGAGGTGCGTTTTATAAATGAAACGCAGCCTTAGAATGCGTTTCCTTCATAAATCGCACCCCTAAGATGCGATATCTAAGGTAAATCGCATCCCCAAGATGCGATCCAAGTTTGGTCGCCAGCGACCTTCTGGATCGCACGATTAAGATGCGATCTGACGGGCTGCAGCATAGCCACGTCAGCAATCCGCGCGACTGAGTGTGGATCGCACTGGTGAGGTGCGATTTCTCGCCTGGAAAAGTGGAGCGTCATGATTCTGCGCGTTCAACGCATCGGGACGCGGGGATCGCATCAGGGGAATGCGATTTGGCGTGGAGATCGCACCAGGGAGATGCGATTTCTACGGGGTAAAATTACCCTATCGCCCCTCGGCGGTGCGATCTGTTGGGTATAAATACCCCCCCTCCCCCTCTCATTTCTTCACTCCACACAACCCATTCTCCTTCTCTCTCTAGATATAATCTCTCTAAACCTTCCCCTCCCAAAAGCCTAGGAAATAAAAGTCTGTTGGTTGCGGCTAAGTCCGATCTGCCATCAGAAAATATTTCTTAGGTTTTTTCCTCAAAAACCCGCCGAGCCGAGCCGAAGCTCTGTCCGAATTACGCCGAAAAAATGGCCGATTGGTGGCAAGGAGAAGGAGTTTTCGTCGATGAATTTCAAGCGGTATGTACTCATCATTCTGGTTTAACTTTTATTGTTGTTATAAGTTTTTTAATTAATCTATGTACTAACCTAGTTATTTTATCGTAGGTTGGGGAGGGCGTCGATATATACAACCAAAGGTATTATCTCGAGCAAGGACCGGTGGATCCAACCGACTTGTACGACCAAGCCAATCATCGGTCAAGGGATGTTTGGAACGATCACCCGGTACATACAATTCTTCACCATTTGTCCTTCTTTTATTTTGTTAATGTGCCTAGTGTAATATAAAATAAATTTATGTTTATTTTTTAATCGTGTTGGTGGTTTTCAATAATTTAATCGAATACATAGCGCCACTTACTTCGACTCTTTATAAAGAGATGCACGTCTAAGGAAATGGGGTTTTAAGCGATTATCATATCCTCCCATTACCTGGGAAAATCGGGTATTAAGAGATCCTCGGATCCCCCCTTTTTCTGTCAAAAAGACTGCGTTTCTAAGAAGATGTATACCTCTTCTAAGAGTCTAACGAGTGTTGCTTTGTATTCGATTAAATTATTTAAAACCACCAACACGATTAAATTATTTACCAAACATTTGAATATGTATGTTTCTACTTAAATTATTATTCATTAACAATGTTATTTATGTTAATTAATTAAATATGTTTGTTTTACGATAATATGTATGTACCTCTTTAAATTATTATTCATTGACAATGTTTTATGATAATATGAAATGTCCTTTTATGATAATAAAATTATGTTTTATGTTGCATAATTTAATTAAATTAATTTAGTTATACGAAAAAACACCCTTACTAATAATAATTAACGTGTAAAATTTTCCTAGGAGTCACAAACAATAATCCGCTACAGGGGTACCACAAATGTGCTCCCATTCCACCCCGCTATCTTGCCATTTCTCAAAAGGGCACGGTTAGACTCGATTAGGCATTTTAACGGCATCCAAATCGATCGTCAACTCATCACCGCATTGGCCGAGAGATGGAGAAAGGAGACCCATTGTTTCAACCTTAGAGAAGGGGAGGCCACCATCACGCTAAAGGATGTCGCCATCCTAACCCATCTGCCCATCGACGGCAAACCAGTGTGCGTGAGTGATCATCCCCCCGAGGATTGTGACGGTATGCCCGGTTGGCAGCATTTCATCCACGAGCATTTGGGAGTGAAAGTACCGGTGAAGGGGCACGTTGATGCGACCGATCGCATGCCACCATTGAGGAAACACCAAGTCTCAATTACTTGGTTGACGAAGTATTTTAGAGATCATTACGAGAGTCATCCGCTTACGGAGGAAAGTCCGGAGGATGAGAAGGAGAGATATGCTCGTGTCTATCTCATAGGCATGATCGGAGGAGTGTTCTTCTCCAAGAAAGCAAGCAATCTCCTTAGTTGTGGATGGCTTAGGATCATCTTCAGTAGTTGGGAGGAGATGGGGGAGTATAGTTGGGCATCTGCATGCCTAGCTATCATCTACAACAACTTGTGCAATGCGGCGAACAAAGCCGTGAGGGAGGTTGGCGGCGCAATGTTCATCGTCCAATTTTGGGCTTGGGAGCATATGCCATGGCTTGCACCGGCCCAACGTCCAGACAGGGATTGGCCAATCGATCATCCCCTAAGAGGTGAAGCTTATGGAGCAAGGTAAACTTCTCATACCCCCATCATGTAGTCATAACACATTTTGTCTTGTGTTTTATCTTATTGTAGTTTCATTCTTGTCATATTAATAAGGTGGCTTGGACACACAACATGCGACAACCTTGCCCAACACAAGTTGGAGGAGTATCGGAGGAGGTTTGAGCGACTTTGGGAAGGAGAGGTAACTTCTATACCGCGATTCATTTATATTTGTGTTTTCATGGGACTACATGTATATTTCTAATTATTTAATCTTACGTTACTCATTTCTATCTTATAGATCGTCTTCGATCCATACCCGGAGAACATCGTTCAATGGCATCTCCAGCAATTCCCCGGTCATATCGGGCAATGGTGCACGAGGGTTCCTCTAATTTGTTTTGGGACCGTGGAGTGGCACTTGCCGGATCGATGCCTCCGTCAGTTTGGTCGGGAGCAGTGCATTCCGTTTGAGGTCCCCGCAAGTCAAAGGGCCTTCCATGGCCGAGATGGTCGGCAAGGTACTCGCGATTGGCCGACGAAGTTGCAGGAATTCATCGCGATTTGGGAGAACCGACAACTACAAGATATTGTCACCCCAAATCAAGTGGGCCGAATGGGGTATCATGACCCATACTTGGATCGATATCGGCAAACATCGGTTCGTTACATGACTCCGGAGGGTGCGGCCGATGGTGCATTAGTAAGTATAACCAGTCTAAGTATAGTATGATTTATTACTTGGTTCCTAAAATCTCTTTGTAACTTTTTTTGTTTTTTGTGATTTAGGTTGATGGGGTCGAGCGGATTAAAGATATTACTACCGGAAGAAATGACTTGGGCAATGAAGATGTGGGCTACATCAGGAGGATTGCAAACAGTCTACTTGGCTGTATCAGAGCTCAGCGCCGAGATCATCGTAGATATCCACCTCGTGCCGCACCCCCACCACCTGAGGTACAACGTGATGTCCCCGCACCCCCACCACCCTACGAGAGAAAGCAGCCGAAGAGGGTTCGGGAAAGGCCGATCGAGCCCGAGGTTCAACCATTTGGGGGGTGGAGTGTGCCGCCCCCATTGGTTGTCACCCAAGGTGCCGGACCAAGTTCAACCCAAGGTGCCGGACCGAGT